TATTCATGCAAAAATTTACAAGTGGTTCGATATAGAATTCGATTATTTTGGCCGAACTACAACTTAGCAGCAAACTGAGTACGTTTTTATTTACAATGAATTATTAATATTATAAATATTTAAATATATTCATATGTCTATCTTTCGTTTAACAAATTTTAGTATTTCACAAGATATCTTTTTAAAATTGTACAAAAATGATTACCTTAGTGAAGATACCGTGGTTCAACGGTAAATTTTTGGATTTTTTTTTTTTTTTTTATAATCATACGTGAAAGCTATTTACGAAGTGAAAAATTCACTGTAGGTTTCTTGCGGATCGTTTCGTAGAAGGGACTTGTCCTAAATGTTCTATCTTTATTTGGCTACAGGTACAGGGACATAACCAACTGTTTAATACGTTATTATGACTCGTGGGATGCGCTAGGAGATCAATGCGATTATTGTGGCCAACTTCTTAACTCTGTAGAACTTATAAATCCACAATGTAAAACAGATAATAGTACACCTATTACAAGAAAATCGAATCACATGTTTTTAGATTTATCCAAATTACAACCAAAAGTTGAAAATTGGATAGAAAAGACTAGTATTGAGGGTAAATGGTCAGCTAATAGCAAAAATATTACTCAATCTTGGCTAAAGAAGGGTTAAAACCTCGCTGTATTACACGTGATCTTAGCTGGAGCACCCCAGTGCCACTCGCTGAAATGAAAGGAAAAGCGTTTTATGTTTGGTTTGATGCACCTATCGGGTAGTCTTATATACCTAATTTCTACAACTTCAGTGTTACCGAGATTTGGTTTACATTAATTCTGATATGCAAATTACACGAATGAATGGGAAAAATGGTGGAAGAATCCGGACCAGGTCAAATTACATAATTTATGGGGAAAGAAAATGTTCCTTTCCATACTATTATGTTTCCTTGTTCATTATTGGGTATTGACGAAGAATGGACTCTGTTGCATCATATAAGAACGGCTGGTAAGAATTGACAATTTCTTGATATTCTGAATTTTTTTTTATAATTATATATATATTTATATGTTATAATTTAGAGTATCTTAATTATGAAAATACGAAGTTTTCCAAATCTCGCAATGTTGGAGTATTTGGTGACGATGCAAAGGATATCGGAATACCTGTTTCTGCTTGAAGATATTATTTAATTTCAAGCCGTCCTGAAACAAGTGATTCTATATTCTCTTGAAAGAATTTATTACCAAGAATAATACTGAATTTTTGTCAGGAAATTTTGTCAATTAAGTTATGAAATTTGTCACTTCCAAATATGATAGCACTTTCCCATCTTTCTCTTGTGATTCCGAATCCGAACAAACATTTATAAAGAACATCAATAATTTGTTGACAAATTATATTGAAGCACTGAAATAGTCATGGAGATTTCACGACAGTGCAATGGTTATCTGCAGGAATCAAAGCTCGATAACACTTTCCTGAGAAATGCACTTCGGTCATTATAGTCTCGATAAACTCCTTTCCGCCGTATTTAGTCCACATATGCATCCGTCACTGAGTCCATTGTCCGTCAATTAAATGCACCACTGAGGAATATTCCTGATTCGTTTACAATGGATATTGAAGCTGACCACCAAATCGGCAAAGCCGAATATCTTTTCAAGAGGATTGATGAAAAAATGGCAGAAGGATTTAGTAAAAAATTTGCTGGTGAATCTAGGGACGACAAAAAAACAACAAAAAGTGTCTAAGACTGCTAATAATATAATAGTAACTGAAGTTCCAAAAGCTGATTAATTTAAATTTATTCGGAGTTTTTCTGTATAAAGAAAAATTTTAATATTTTTAATATTTTTAATAAAGTTTCAAAGAACTCGATCTAAAATTTTATTCGATAATTATAATATCTAGAGATATGATTCGATAACCTTTTTTGTCGCGTTGGCCGTAACTTGAGATATGAACGATACTTTAAAAAGGTTTGACTTAACATTTGCATACTTGACGTATGTCGTAACATTTGACATATGCCGTAACACTTGACGACTTGTGTCGTAACATTTATTGAATTGCATATAATATTTGATACGTCTATAAGCGTTGTTTTTCTTATGCAAGTTATTAAGTCAATATCGTCTGATATCCTCATGAACGTCCCGACAATGAAGTGCAAGATGGGACTTTAAAATATAATAGTCTGGCAATCAAACCTCGCTACGCCACTTGTCCAGTACATTGTCAAATGAATATATAACTGAGGCGTTTTTTAAAAATTAAGTTTATCGTTAACTGTCCAGTTTTAACGATACCGAACCCAATTGAACGAATCAGAATTGCATTTGATGTTTCGTGGATATTTTTTTTACGATTAAAGCTATTTTTCGTGATTTTACGATAATTGCTTAATAAACGATGATTTCGATTTATTAATTGAAACTTTTCATTTATTTTTAAACGTTTATAAATTTTTGACGAATTATTTTTTACATTTTTATTGAACGATTATAAATTTATTAAATACAAAAAAAAAAAATCAATCGATATTAACAAAAACAGTCAATTTTTTTAAAAAATGTTTTTTTTTCTAATATAAAAATTGTAATCCTGACTAAACTTAATTTTGAATTCTTCGGTCTTGAGAATTTCGTCGTCTTGCGTAATATGACCTATATACCGGTATAAAAAAAAAATTGAATGAAATTGCATAATAATTGAAAAACCAAACAAGGACGTTCACAGTAACTGTGGCCACGAAGTTACTGTGGCCGCGAAGAGCTTCCAGTTGCTTGATTTTATGCACCCGTACACTACCTACAACGATTAATACCTGATTCCCGTCCACCCGACCCTCTTAAGGAGTAATTACCTTAATTAGTCGGTCCTGCGAACATGAAACCGAAATACTAACCGCAATAGTAACCCTTAAAACCATTGAAAGAAGAAATAGACGTTCACAACAAGCCGTCCACCGTAGGTCTCAATGCCTAACTAGTAACTGTCGCGAGTTGTGGCCCGAAGTGCTTCTATTGTCTTCAATCTCCAGTTAAAAAGTCGTGAATAGATGCACACAATCGTTAAGCAACTAT